CTGAACATCTCAACCTTCTGAACCATGTGGACCATAACCGCCATTTTGCTCGTACGTTGTCCAGATTAAGAACTCAACGAAGTCAAGTTTTATTTGGGGAAAAATCTACTTCCAAACTTGGGAGCACTCAATTTTACAAGCATCCTACCAATCCTGCTAAATGACTTTGTCGTATTTAAAGATCTTGAGGGGGAAAATCATTTTTTAATTTTAAGGATCTACGAACTTCCGACTCTCAAACCCTCGATGACAGAAACTACAGCCTCGATTTAAAATAGTTTGGCYGCGTTTTTCTGCACATTCCGAAGCCTGAAACCTAATGTCCATTTTTTATTGAGTTGAAACAGCCGATTGGCTGCTTTAATTCATTCTTTTTGCGTTAATTTGCTTGTTCTCCTGATAATAATAGCGGAGCACCATACTTAAGAAAAAACGGTTAACCATCGAGTTGATTTTTTATACATACATACATACGGCGTGTTCACAAGAATCCCGATTGGCTGGTTAGGTTATCTTTTTATTTTGGCGGGAATGTCGACGCGTTGCAACATCCGGGTACACATAAAGGTACACACGTAAATATATTTGTACATGACATGTCTTTGTACATACAATCCGGCTATTAAACTTCTGTTAAAAATTTTTTTTACGATGTGCACCTGTTATTGCGTATAGAAATACCGAATTATAACAACACAATTTTTTATTCAAGCTTATATTTATATTTATATTTACTCTATTTACGATGGAACTCCTTTCCGAAATCGATATGTAGAAAGAAAGCTCAGAGGAGAATGAAGCCAAAAGAAAGGCCAGAAGTAAAAGAGTTTTTTCGGAAGAGGAAAAGCTCTGGAGGCGTGAAAAAGAAAGGCAAAGACGAAGGAATCTCACCGAAGAAAAGCGGCAAGCAGAGAGAGAGAAAACGCCAATCCAGGTGGGACTTCGATTACGAACAAGGAGAACATGATCGTGAAAGAAAAAGAAATATAAGGCAAAACTTGACGGATGAACAAAGAGAAAATGAACGTGAAAGACAAAGGCATTTGAGGTAAAACTTCACGTATGAACAAAGAGAAAATGAGCGTGAAAGACAAAGGAATTTGAGGCAAAACTTCACGTACGAACAAAGAGAAAATGAGAGTGAAAGACAAAGGAATTTGAGGCAAAACTTGACGCATGAACATAGCGAAAATGAACGTGAAAGACCAAGGAATTTGAGGCAAAACTTCACGGAAGAACATAGAGAAAATTAACGTGAAAGACAAAGGAATTTGAGGCAAAATTTCAGCTTAACACAGAAAGAAAAGAAGAAGTTAAGAAAGAGACGTGCAAGACAAAATTCTACGAAGGAATACCTCGAGATGGATATCATTACGCATAAAAGCTCAAAGATGTCGGGTGAGTTTTTCTCCCTTGCCCTATTAGCATGTCTAGTACTTTTTCTTGTTTTTAATTCGTTCTCCTTTGCTTTTATTATATTAAGAAAGCCATTTTTTTGTGACACTTTTTTAATAAGAAATTTGAACTATTTTTAAGATTTCTTAAAGTGAAAAGTAATGCTGATAAGTAAGAAAAGGAAAATAGGTATTGTTTCCGAGATAATCGGCCTGTAGACTCCATGATTGCCCAAATGCAGCCTAGTAAATTATTCTACAATATCACATGTATATTTTTGACAAAAAGACAAGGAAATACATTGATTTCCATTTATAAAATAATTGGGATACTACGCGCGCTATGATTGAGAGGCTGAAAGATCGAGAAGCTGGTTTCCTACGCTCCTCTCGTGTTCTCTCAACATCCCGCGTGTTTTGATCAGAGTATGAAACAGAGTATTCCTCTCAGTGCTCTAAAAGAGTATCATACAGACGAACCAAATTTGTTTTACAAAAAAATATTTTTTTGTTGCGTTAGAAAAAATTCTTTTTGTATTTAAGCAGTGAGCGCCAAAAACGCGCGGAAAACTGAAAAATCCCTCCTTTTTGAAGCCTTGTCTCGATAACCAATGCGGTAACCCCCTTCTCTTTTTTCAATATTCGAATACCCTAACAATGAACTTCAAATGACAGAATTTAAAAAAGAAATTCATAGAAGAATTTTGAAGATCCGATACTACCTTAAGTAATATTAAACAGAAATTCAAAGTATAAAAATGTCGGCAATGGAACTTCGTCGAAGAATATTCCAAGAACAAAACTAGACCCTGGGGGGGAAGGAGTTGTATAAAAAATTCCTAAGTGTGAGAGAAAAATGGGAGAAATTATCTTGATCTCGAATAAAAAATAATTGAAGATTTTTTC